ATACCTACTAGACAATGACATTCTAATTATCAGTTATAACAATAAAATAATAAAAAGTCTTAATTCATCTGGCCAAATATAAAATACAAGTGTCAGTGAATTAAAGAATATACAGTTAGCTTAATAAAAATTATAATACATATAAAGGGTTTTTTGTTTGGCTGGGATGCTTATTCCCCTCAGACCCTTCCTTAACTAATAATAGACATATTCTGTTCCTAATTGGTTACTGGTTTAATACTATTGTTTTTATTTCTGGTATATAAATGTTATAGTAGATGCAAAAAAAACAAACTTAAGACAAGCAGCAAAAAGACTCAGATCATGGTAGCTCAAAAATTAGAAATTATCCAGAATATTTTTTAACAAGGACATACAGGAGCTGACTGCCTCCCATTCACATGCCTTTTTATTTTAAACTAGAGGCCTGGTGCATGAGATTTGTGCACTTGGAGAGGGGGTCCCTTAGCCTGGCCTGCACTCTCTCAGGTTTTGGAGCCCATGGACATCCTTAGTGCTGCTGAGGAGGCGGGAGAGGCTCCCTCCACCGCCGCTGCACTTGCCAGCCATGAGCCCGGCTTCTGGCTGAGCGGTGCTCCCCCTGTGGAAGCGCACTGACCACCAGGGGGCAGCTCCTGCATTGTCTGCCCCCTGGTGGTCAGTGCGCATCATAGTGACCTGTTGTTCCGCTGTTTGGTCGATTTGCATGTTAGCCTTTTATTATATAGGACTAGAGGCCGGGTGCATGAACATTCGTGCATTGGGGGGTCCCTCAACCCAGTCTGCCCCCCTCACAGTCCATGGGGAGCAGGCCTAAGCCGAAGTCTGGCCTCCCTCTGTGGGCTGATCAGGGGAAGGTGATGCCCCCATCACACTTTTGCTGTTGCCACTGCCAGCCATGAAGGCTGCGAGGCCTGAGCCCTGGCCTCGCAGCTGCTGGGGCTCAGGGCTGCCTGAGCCCACAGCTGCCATGAGCTGTGGGTCTCACAGCTGCCGGGCCTCACAGCCGCCATGAGCCCCAGGCCTTAAAGCTGCCAGAGCCCACAGCTGCTTGAGCCCACGGCTGCCATGAGCCCACAGCTGCCTGAGCCCCAGGCCTCACAGCCACTGTGGCTTTGTCTGGATGGATGTCCGGATGGACATCCAGAAGACGTCCACGCTAATTAGCATATTACCCTTTTATTAGTATAGATAATAATTTGACCTTGAGTGCCATCTAAGGTTGTGGCCTTTCCCCATCCTCAATGGTTCATTATTCAGCAAGACAAACACTAATGCTGAAACCTCCTAGGAATAAGCTTCCTAGCAGAATGGGACCCTGTTATCCAATCAAAAGTTTGGTCATTAATGCAGCCAGATGTGTGGAGGAAAAGGTGCCACATGCTAACCTGACTACCTCAGGAGAGGCCTGCACAGTGGCCTTGCAAACTCAGAGACCTACAGTAACCACAAAGAATGGTCTGAAATTAAAACTTTTTTGTGTTTTTTTGTTAATCCTCACCCAAGGATATTTTTCCATTGATTTTTAGGAAGAGTGGAAGAGAGAGGGAAAGACAGAGAGAAACATCAATGTGAGAGAAATACATCATTGGTTGCCTCCTGCACAAGCCCCGACCAGGGCCTGGGCCAGGGAGTAGCCTGTAACCAAGGTACATATCCTTGACCGGAATCAAACCTGGGACCCCTTGGTCCACAGGCTGACACTCTATCCACTGAGCCAAACCGGCTAGGGCTGAAATTAAAACTTTTTAACTAAAAGCAGTTTATGGTGGGTAGTCATGTCCTGGGCCCACATCTTCTCTGACAAAGGTCGATCTTTATCCGAACTGAGCCTGTCTGTTGTCTTTTTGCATCTAAGATAACATATTTTTGGAATGTCCAAGTAATTTTCCTCAAAGCACAGCATTCTGTATAGACCAAAAATCCCCTTCTAATTACTGAGTTAATTGTTGACTGTTAATTATCCTATACCCACCTATGTAAAAAAAAAGTATGTATTTATCATTTGCTTTATATCCAATCCCAGAGGTTTCCCCCACTTTGCTTTCTCCTGCCTCCCTAACATGTAACCAATGGATCTTGTGTACCCCACATATGCCTCCTCTTTTGATTGTAATGTATAAAATAAGACACAAAACTGCCATTCTCCAGAGCATTATCTCAATCCATTAAAATTTTGCTTCCTGGCAATTGTCGACAGTTTGGCTCAAATAAACTCACAAAAATTCTTCACAGGTTTGAATGTTTTTTATCTTGACATTTATACATTTTTTCTTTTTTATTGTTTAAAGTATTACTTGATGTCTTTTTTGCCTGATAATATTACAAATAAACCATCTTTATCTTAGTTTTACTACTCATTGCTATTTTTTATCATCACTTAACTTTCATCCATTATGTGACATGCTACTCTACCTGCTTTATGACCTGCAAAGGGCTGAAGCATGTTTATAATGCCTGCATTAGACTGTATGGGCTGCCATAACAAGCAATCATACCACAGACTATGTGTATTAATAACAGAATTTTATTTCTCATAGTTCTGGAAGCTGAAAGTCCAACCTCAAGGTGTTGGCTGGTTTGGATTCTTCTGAGGCCTCTCTCCTTGGCTTGAAGATGGCCACCTTCTTATTGCTTCTTTATATAGTCATTCCTCTGTGTATGCATAACCCTGGTGCCTCTCTGTGTGTCCCTAAACTCTTCTTATAAAGACAATAGTTGGATAAGGTTAAGGTACACCATAATTAAGCCCCTAACTTCATCACTTCTTTAAAGGCCCTATCACCAAATACAGACATGTTCTGAGGCACTGGGAGTTAGGGCTTCAACATACGAAGTTTGAGGGATACAATTCAATCAATAGCAATGCCTGATTTAAAATGACATTATCATAAGAGACTAGAGAGCAGAGACAAACAATGACACAGCAGGAAAGCGTATGGTTTGTTAGGCGTCTATTAGCCTCCAGCTTCTCCAGTTCATAAGAGTCTCTGAGGGAAAATAAGTCCCAGGCATTGGACTTAAAATTTTGCACTGCTACTACTCAGCCTGGATACTGGTTGGGAATCAGTATACTATACTAGTAAATAACCATCTGGAATAAAAAAAGACCCCGAATAGCCACAGCAATCCTGAGAAAGAAGAACAAAGTTGGAGGGATTACAATACCAGATATCACCTCTCCAATAAAACATTTCTATGCCTCAGGGGAAAGAAAGCTATGATACATTTACACCACTGAATACTATACAGCAATACAAAAGAAGGATCTCTTACTCTTTGAGACAGCCTGGAGGGACTGGAGAATATTGTGCTAAACGAAATGAGCCAGTCAGAGAAAGACAAGTATCACATGAACTGAAAAAAATTGATCCAGAGACACAGAAGCATGGAACAGATTGTTGAATCTCAGAGGGAAGGTGGGAGTGTGTAGGTGTGTGGGAAGAGATTAACCAAATAACTTATATGCATGACCAATGGATGCAGACAATGGTGTGGTGAAGGCCTGGGGAAGTGGGGGGTGTGGGCTAGAAGGGGTCAATGGGGAAATAAAGGGTACACCTGTAATACTTTCAACAATAAAGATACATTAAAAATAAAATAAAATACACTTCATTTTCAAAGTTGAGCTATCAGCTGTTAAAGTTTGTATACATTTTTGGGACCATATATATACATCTCTATATATCTATATATCTATATCTATATCTATATGTAGCTATAGATATATATCACACATAGACACAGACAAAAGTATGATGATAGCCAGAGGGAAAGTTGGGGGGCAGGGAGAGATGGAAGAGGTCAAAGGGGGAATAAATGGAGATGGAAAGTCCCTTTACTTTGGGCACACGATGCAGTGTGCAGATGGTGCTTTGTTGAGTTATACACTTTAAATCTGTATAGTTTTGTTAACCAATGTCACCCCAATAAATTCAATTAATATAAATAAAAAAATAAATAAATGCTAGAGACTGCCATGAATGAAAGGGAAGACTGGACCTTCTGGTCTTGGCCCTGTTGGCTCATGGTTGGGACAGGGGAAGAGCAACCCGAGATACAAAACATACAATTTGCAATATAACTCTTTAATATGGAAATAAACAAGGATCTTGAGAGGGAAAAGTACAGAACAATTGGCAGGCTTCAAGGTGAACTTTGGATTCCTGGTTAGTCTGGCTTCAACCTTAGTCATGGATGTGGCCTCAGGTTGCAAGAGAGATATAACAAATACGATGAGGATGAAAATGAGAGCACCTAAGGGCTCATTTCCTGGGCTTTGTTTACAAGATCCTAGGTCACTGCATGAAGGCTTCCTCTGGGATCTTGCTCTTCATCTAGAGAAAGTCAAGAGAGAGAATTGGGATTGCAGCAGAGCAAGGGGCACTAAGATTCATCCCCAGGCCACCTGACTTCTGTCCACTTGGCCTTGCTAAAAGCCTGAGACCCGTTTCCTTTTATCTCTGAATTCTCAGACTTCACTTTTTAATGAGCTGCTATCATCTACTCACTGTACTCAAAGCACTTATGGTGGGGGAGGACAGATGACCTCTCTTAGGACCAAAGTGGAGACACTTTGACCTCACAATGTCACTGCTAAATCTTGCCACAGAACGAAGCCTCCAAATTGACCAAGATGTATGCACCAGAATGACCAAGTAGCACTCCATGTAATGTTGAAAAAGCAGTGGAAGGACAAATATCTATCAATAATAGCTTATGGCCTACTGGATTTCAACTGCTTAATGTACAGTTCTTAGAAGGAATAAGGTAGCCTAACATATACTTACAGCAAACTATGATAGTGCTAATAATTAATAAACAAGTTTCAAAACAGCATGTCTAGTAGGAAAACTAGATGTTATATTTCGATGTATTAGCATAAATTTAAGGTATTTTTCACATGAACTCTTGTAAAAAAAAAAGATCTAAAATAATTACCTGCAAGTTCCCACTATTCAATCCTCCCAGCTCCCTCTTATCCCATGCACACCCATCACTCACTTCTGAGACCACTAGAGGCTCATCTGAGAAAGGCTGAAGGAAATCTGCACAATTTCCTGCTGTTCCTGAGAGAGGGTGGGCCAAGTGCTGCAGGAAGGTGTGGGCACTTGGGTAGAAAACGCACTTTGAGTCTCAGTTGGGGTGGCATCCCTCACAAACAGCTCATCATTCACGATGAACATACTAAAAAAAAAGATACCTCAGACAACTGATGGATGGACAACCCCACACCCTCAACAATGATCCTGCTTCCACTGCTACTCAGCAACCAGATTCCTCCCATACCCACCTGTACCTGCTCCTCAGATTCCTTTTCCCTTCTCACATCCCCAGCCTTGGAGAGATTGTCTACCAGCTTCACTAGATTTGTACCCCTAACCCCATTGCATTTACTCAGTGAAACAGCCCAAGGGAGAGGACAATCTAATTCCATTTTCAGAGGAAGACATAGGTCACAGAGAGGGTCATGTGATTTCACTCAGGTACAAATCTAGTGAGTGTTGGCGTCATGAAAAGAACCTAAAGAAACCTGAAACACTTTCAGTGTTCTAACTCCAGAGCCCAAGCTCTTAACCCCTTTGCAGGACTGTTCCTTGGATCAACCTGCTGGCTTCCCACACACTGAGAAAACCCTGAGAACATGCACTGCCACATTCCCACAGCCCTGAGCCCAGGTTGGGCTGTATGTTCCCACCCAGAGCATAACACTCACCTGGAATCGCTGGCAGGGGTAGTGATGAAGGTCCGGGTGAAGGCACGCACAGAACCCTGAGACCTTCCTTCCACTTCAACAACAACAAACAATAATACCCCCTTAGGGTCACACATGCTTCACACACTCACTCAGCATTCCCAAGTCAGGGTGGGACTGCATACTCATGCCCAAGGAGACAACTATTTTCTGGGAGTCAGGGTGCGAGGAATAGGGAGGACAACATTAGGAGCAATCTGCTTCCACTGAGAAGGAACCTACCATGTCCTGGGCCCTGGGACAACCACTTCACTAGTTCATTTGATTCATTTTTGGAAGCTACCCAAGGGGTGTGTTTTATTATCCCCATTTTGCAAATGAGGAAAATGAAAGGTTAGATAATGGACCTATGTTTGCACAGTCAGGATCTGGGAGGACAGCCATCAAACCCCACATCTGTGTACCCATCACCCCAGCTATGCAGGGCTGATAGGCATGGATGCAGGTCAGACCAGGCTAGTTTCGGGGGCAGTGTCTGGAGGCAGGAGAACATGGAGGGAATAGTAAGAAAAGGGAAGGAATCAGGGAAGCTGTGAGAGTTCTGAGAGGGAGCCCAGCCAGGAGGAGGGAGCAGTGGGGGACCTGGGGAGGGGTCTCTACACACACTCACCTTCCTTGAACACTCCGTTGACACAGAAGAAAAGCAGGCTTTCCTGAACAACAACAAAAAAAGACCACATGTGCTCAGTCTCCACATACACTTCACTCCCAGCTGCATCTTTCTGGGCCTGTCCCAGGGAGGAAGAGGGTGCTCACCGACTGCAACCACATGTCCACCAGGAAGGAGTTGAGATCATGCTGTGTTTTGGGAAACACACAGAGAGAGCTCACAATGTCATGTTTTGTACGTTTCAGCAGCTGAAAACACAGATCTATGGAGGAAGGACAGAAAAGGTCAGGGTTGCCACATCCTGGGGCCTATGACTGACCCTTCATGTTCCCTTTCCCTGCCCAATCTTCCCCATCCCACACGCACTGGAGTCCTGGAGGTTCTTCATATTCCTGGTATCCTTGAAGTACTCAAAAAAGCTGCTTCTAGGGGGAAAAAACAAAACAGGATGTGGTGGTTCGACCAGTGTGGGTGTTTCCAGGAGCTGGCAGATTTCTGCTGGGGAGACACATGCCCCAAATGAGAGTGTGAACTGTGATACTCACGTGGTTGGGTTGTCTTGGATGAAGGGAATGGTCAGAGAGAAGCAGGCCTCATCGTGATAAGCACCGAGGAGACTCTGTCTGTCTCCAGAGTCATAGATCAAGTAATATCTGTGAGGGGACAATGAAGACAGTGTACCTCTAGGGACTGGGTCTCAAAGGGGACTTTAAAACTTTCAGGGGTACTTACTGCTGCAGGAATTGCAGGACTTGAGTCTTCATCACATCAGATCCTTTATATTTTTCCTGGAATCAAAGACATTTGAGACCATGTGGCTGATAAAGCCTCCTTTACAATAGCCCAAGTGTTGATCTTTCTTCCTCACCTTTATTAAGTAGTGTCTATCAATGTCAACAGCAATCGGTGGGAGTAAATCCTGGCCATCCTGGAGAAGGGAGGGGTAAATTAGTAGTATAGACCAGGGAAGCAGTCCTGGATGACTATGGGAAGGATGTGCCCAGAAGATGGTGAAGGTGAGAGGTCAGGAGTGAAAAGCCCCAGGAAATTCCATGGGCAAGTTTCTAGTGGAAATCTGCATCATGAGATCCTGGAAGTCTCTACTGTTTATTTTTATGACTGACTCTATTACAGGTGTTCCCTCACCCCCACCTTTGTCTCTCTCCGCCCTGCAACAGCACCCTCCACCCCCACCCACGCCTTCGTCACATAAATGTCTGTGTCCATGGGACTATGCGTACTACTTTATGCAACTTTTGTGTGTGTGTCTGTTTCTCTCTCTCCCTTCCTCCCTCCCACCTTCTCTCCTTGTCTTTCTATCTCTATGTGTGTGTGGGGGGGTACATTTTCATAAAGATCATCTTCATGTCTTTTTCAGAGATCTCCCTTTTTTGAGGGAGAGGGAGGAAAGCCTTATCCATTTTGTCCCCCAAAATGGAGAAGGCTCTGATGCAAATATGTAATCTAAGCAAGACACGAAGGGCTTGAGGGCAGGTGTGGAGGTCGTCAATGTAAGTAAGAGATGATGATGAATGTAAGCACTTACCAGGCGTGACAAGTTGGGGAAATATTTCCTGATGGCGCTGTCCAAATGTAAAAATAGAAAAAGTGGTTGACAGTTTAGATTGCATTGCTGTAATTTACTTAAAATATTGATGGAATGAACAGAAACAGGTGTTCTGCCCACGCAGAATCCCCTTTGCCCTCCTCAGCCTCAGATTTCAAGGCTTCTGGGTCCATTTCTCTGCTGAGCACTGACCATCTGCCATATGGAATCCCTGAAACACACAGTCTCCTCACCTCTCTTTACACCTTCACATTCATATTACCTCCTGCGCCCCTCACCTTTTCCCTCCTTCCCTCTCTCTCCCTCTCCATCCTCCTGGTTAACTCCGGCCTAGAGGGCCCCGACTCCTTCCCCAGTGCCACAAACCACAGCATTTGGATCCCAGACTCCAGAGCTTCTTCTCCCTCTCTGCCTCCCTTTCCTCCTTCCAGGCCACACTGATGGCTCCAGAGAGAAGAGGGAATGGGGTGGGGGCCCAGGACTCTGCCACCTCACTGGGGGTCCAGCATCCTGCCATGAACAGCACATGCCCCAAGGATGGCCCAGGACTCTGGGGCAAGGGGGTGATGGAGGGAGGGATTAGGAGACAGGGAGTGGAAGGGAGCGGGATGAAGACAGAAAGAGAGTAAAGATAGGAGCAGAGATTGGAAGACATCAAAGTGTAAAGACAAAGGAAAAACAGAAAGAAAATTAAAGGGAAAAGAAAAAAGTTCTGCCCTGGCAGTGGGGGTTGGGTCAGAGAAGAAGAGAAGAGGAAAGGGATATGGCTCCCCTGCAGCAGCTCTTTCCTTCATCTGCCCCTGGCTGGTCCTGGGTCTCCAAGCAGGAATGGAAAGCATGAGTCTGTTAGCCTGTTAGAATGTTGGTTGAGCCTTTGTCACCTGTGGGAGCTCAATGTGAACTGGGCATGGGAAACATACCACCCACGGGATCAGGACAGCTTCCCAGAAGGAGTAAAGGGCCAGGCCCCAGCTCAGCTTAACCTTGGGGATCTGTGGCCCACTCATATAAAAACCACCTTCTCTCCTCATGGCCCCTGTGCATCTTTGTCTGTCTTAGTTGGTTTCTAAGGCTACCCAGGGCTCCTCTGAAGGACCAGGCAGGTGATGTGTTGTGTGAAGGAAGGGTCAGTGGCCCTTCTATCTCTTCAAACCCCTCTGCTGTCTGCCTTCCACTGCTGCCGCAAGAGGCCCCCTGCTCATTGCTGGTGGCTCACTTCTTCTTTTTTTTTTTTACAATCCTCACCCAAGGATATTTTTTGAGGGCAGGTGTGGAGGTTGTCAATGTAATGTAGTTGATCATTAGAAAGAGAGTGGAAGGGAGGGAGAGGGAGGAGAGAGAAACATCTCTCTCACATCAACTGGTTGCTTCTAACCATGTACCCCAACAGGGGCCAGGGATCTAACTTGCATCCAAGGTACATGCTAAAAATTGAAACCCTTAGGTCCACTGGCCAACACTTCAACCACTGAGCCAAACCCGCCAGGGCGGTGGTAGCTCACTTCCAGCCCCTTGACTAGGGAACTCTGGATTCTACCAAGGATGGCTCATTCCTGGTATTGCACTAAAGAAACGAACTGGGCCTGAGTCCTTGGCATGGGGTGGGATAGTCCCCGTGTCAACCTGGGATTTGAGGGGAGACCCTTTAAAAGCAAGGGGAAAAAAGGTTCCTCCCAGAATAGATTGGGGATACTCTATCATCTCAGAAGCAGGAAGGACTGTCTCAGCATGAGTCTGGGTGGAGGAAGTTTCTCAGTCCAGATCAGCAGTATCTACCTCGAGGCTCAACACTCATAGTCCTGGTGGTAGGAGGAAGGGAGCCCTGCATCCTGGAGCATGTCTTTGGTGGGCATGCCAGAGAAAACTAATACAGAGTAAATAACCACACTGGAGACAATGAGCACAGGTAAGCAGGTCAGAGGAAGGATAGAAGACCTCTGAGCACAGACGAGGGACATAGAGAAGAGAAGGTGGGGCCTCTAGCCCTCCCAGAGGACCAGGGCTGCCACCATCTGCGATATGGTACTGTCAGGGGTAGTTCAGGCTTCCAGAAGTCAAAGGACCCTAGGAATGGTGAGAGGGGCTCACACAGACCTTATGTAAGTGCATTTCTCTGAGAAGGTGTGGCACAGGGGGTTATCTTCCAGCCACAGCTCTTCCAGTTTCAGGCCTTTAATCTTGCACAACTCCCAGGTAGAGTTAAGCTGAGAAATATAGGGGAAAAACTGAAAATAGTCTGAGGAAAAAGGGACATCCCAGCTCCTGAACCCACAGCCCACTCCTTTTCCCACAGGTACCTTCGCTTACTTCCTGTCATCACTTTAATGAACACTACCACCCACTCTCAACCCATCTTTGATCTGTCCCTCTTCTTACCTCATTTTTGGAAAGGTCCAAAATCTTGACTGTGGGCGCCATCTGTGCAATATCAGACAGGCCATCCAGCTGGCACAGTCTGTTGTTGTGTAAGTTCAGGGACAACAGCTTTGGGGAAGAAGAGGTAAAGTGATTTGTACTATCTAGGACCTCAGAGACAAATCTGCCCTCTGTCCCATCTGTTCCACCCCTACCATAACACAAGCACTAGGTCTAGGGCAGCCGTGGGCAAACTATGGCCCGTGGGCCGGATCCGGCCCATTTGAAATGAATAAAACTAAAAAAAAAAAAAAAAAGACCGTACCCTTTTATGTAATGATGTTTACTTTGAATTTATATTAGTTCACACAGACACTCCATCCATGCTTTTGTTCCGGCCCTCCGGTCCAGTTTAAGAACCCATTGTGGCCCTCGAGTCAAAAAGTTTGCCCACCCCTGGTCTAGGGCCTCACCTCAGGGAAATTCTTTTTGATGACCTGCAGGGTGGCAGCCATGCAGTTTCTTCTATTCAGGATTATAGTAACATCATGGTCCACCAAGTCTTCAGGAAGCCAAGAGTAGGAAATCAAAAGGCTGAGAGAGGTCCAGGACAAGCACCAAATCTTCCCTTGTAACCATACCTAAATCTCCCTCCCAGGCAGAAACTTCTGCCCTAGAATTACTGCTGTCAGCTGTACCTGGGTCATAGCGGAGCAACTGGAGATCAAGAGCTTTCTGAGAGATGTCATATCGTTTGCACATGGCCAGCTGCAGAGGGAGATGGAGAGAGAGGTCTGAGGCTGTGGTGGTGACAGGGAAATCAGGGTGGAGGAGGAAGAGCTTGGTCTGGGGGCAAACATGTACCTTTGAGTCTGCATTACCTTTAGCTGTTCCATTTCTTCTGGCGCCAGTTTATCCCGCACAGAGTAGGGTACAGCAGAAGTACTGACAAAGATAGCTATCTGCAGGAAGAAGAAGCTGGGTTAGCACCAGGAACTCTAGTCCTACAGAAAGTGACCAGCTCTGCCTGTCCTCCTGCCCCAGGACTAAGTACACATAATGGCCTCAACACATACCTTCCGGTTCTCCTGGTCACAAATCTTGTAGCTGACATCCTTCAATGCTGAGGCAGTGCTAGCATCTTGAACAAAGAACTGGGCCTTGTTTTTCACGTAGTGAAACTACAGGGAGTTGAAGGCAACAACAATAGTGTCAGAGGCCAAGGGCCCCAGCTGAGTCAGATCTCTCCCCCTTCCCTGTGCCCCCTTATCTGGCTTCACCATCCTCTTACGTCCACTGGAGTGAAGGGGACACTGCAATGGCTCTGGATTGAATCCATTAGCCATGTCCTGTCATACTTTCTTCCACCGGCAACCTAAGGGCGAAAAGGGCATGGAGACAGGAGGGACAGCATGAAAGAAGGCTGGAGAACAGACCCAACACAGTGCTCTTTTGCTATCTTCTACTGAGCTTTAAAGGGCTTCTAAAGTAAACACCACTTGCATGATTTCTTATGTTTGTGACAAATATGGAGTTCTTAAATCCATTATCTCTCCATTTGAAGCTCTCCTCCCCATAATCAACTTAAGGTGTTAGACATGTTCTTCCTTTTATAAAGTTCTAGGAGAGCCTGTCTAGGATACTGCTTGGCCCCTCAGATGTTTTCCAGAGACTCTACCCCCCCGCCATATCCCACATCCAGCTTGGGCCAAACTGAGATATCTAGTGTGGACTTGCTCCATTTCCTTGGCAATAGTTCCACCTTTTCTTTTAGACAGCCCCCTCTGTTTTCCATAGAGTCAGTCTGTTTCCTTATATTGCTTCTCTAAATTTGCCCTTAAATGGAGTAAGTAATAAAAAGGACAAATTGTAAACTGTCCCCAGCAAAGTATCGAGTGTCTCTACATGAGACCACCATAGTGCACCTGACCTTTCTCTCCTGCATACTCCATAGATTTTTTTTTCAGGATACTCACTGTGACCTTGAACCAATTTCCCATGGTTTGATCTTGTGTATTCTCCCACATTTCTCTCCTGAAATATTTTCTATTATGCAACAGAGTAACATGGAGATGGCCTCCATTATGCCATTGCACTCTCCTCTTCTCATGTCCCATGGTATACGGAGTGCTGCAGTGGGGGGAAATGGAGAGAAAAAGGGTGGCCATGAATGCTAAGAAAGTCTTCTATGCATCCTTCATCCCTGACACCAGGACTACAATTAGGATTGCTCAACCATGGTTTCACTTCTAATATCCTTCAGTTTCCCAGTGAGAGAAGAAAAACAAAATTACAGGCAGTGAGAGTTGCGCAGTCCCATGGGCTTCCACATGCAAACCAGGCTGCCCAGTCACTTACTGTCTGACTTGGTACCTCTGGACTTCCCTCTTCTCCATGTATCCATAATCCTTCAGGAGGTGTGGAGGCTGATATCCACCATGTTGATAACGACGGTTCCTGTTGCGAAAATTACCTCGAAAAGAACCCCAATGGTTCTTTCTTCCTTGAAGTGAGCTATAACCATCATTGTCTTCTGAAACAAGGAACAAAAATACAAATGTGGAGACACATCTGTGCCCAATTACCATGTATCATGTCTTGGGCGAACACTAAGGCAGGGCAACAAAATGCCAACCTGCCCTAAGAGATCAATCCCACAAGTCCCAGAAAGGAAACACCTCTGCCTGTCCAGATATCTGACAGATGGTGCTATCAGGGGAGAAATGGTACAGGATGAGGAAGGAGGAGCAAGAGCAGGAGGAGAGGAGATAGGAGGAGAAAGAGGTAACTGTGTGAACCTTTTAATATGGTGCAAGATTTATAAAGAACAGAGGTGTGTCCATGGGTTAGATTAGATGCCAGCCATACATCAGGAAGGCATGTGAATCTTGCCTCTCAGAGCTCTCTGACAACCCCTCCAATACATGGGAAGCACCCTCTCTCATGCTTCCCAAACCCAATCAGCCACCACACTGATTTCACTAACACTCAAGCTGTGCTTCTTTTTCCATTGTAGTACAAGCTTTAATGTCAGATGGAGCGGAGGTACCAGCCTCTAAACTGGCCTCCTCCATCCTGCCTTGCCCTCAACAATACTCTACTTGAAATATCCAGAGTGAGCTTTCTCTTTGCTCAGTCTGAAATGCCTTTGAGTTCAGGAGACAGCTCTTTCTAACCTCAGCTCTTCTGTACCAAGAGTCTGAATGACAAACTGGAATGATGTTTCAACTATCATTTCCAAATCTCTAGGGATACTTCTTTTCTCTTCCTATTATTGATTTCTAATTTGATCCCTCTATGGTCAGAGAACATACTCTGTGTCGTTTCAATTCTTTTTAAACTTGTGGAGGTTTTTCTGATGGTACAGGAGATGGCCTGTCTTGGCAAATGTTACATAGACACTTGAAAAATACTGTACTCTGTTCCTTTTAGACAGAGTATTCTATTTGCCAGGTAAATCCTGTTAATTTATTGTGTTATTCAGATCTGCTATGTACTGATTTTCCCTCTAGTAATTCAATCACTTACTGAGAGGGGGTATTGAAGGCATTACAAAATAATCAAAGAACCAATCCCATAAGTCTCTTGTAAATTTTCTATTTTATTGTAGAATGTAGCCACAGGTATGCTCATAATATGTGTTGTTTATATTGCACTCTATATTCACTCTTAGGAGTTGTGTTGCTGTCCATCCTTCCCCCCACAAACACTCTCACCAACATATGTAATTCAACATGTGGAAGGATATGGAAGTATTTTTTTGGCATCTACAGAAATAAGGTACTCTCAATTGTCTCTCTTATATGTGGATTCACTAATGATATATTTTTTTAAAATATATTTTATTGATTTTTTACAGAGAGGAAGGGAGAGAAATAGAGAGTTAGAAACATCGATGAGAGAGAAACATCGATCAGCTGCCTCCTGCACATCTCCTACTGGGGATGTGTCCGCAACCAAGGTACATGCCCTTGACCGGAATTGAACCCGGGACCCTTCAGTCCGCAGGCCTATGCTCTATCCACTGGGCCAAACTGGTTTCGGCAGCTAGTGATATATATTTTTTTTACTACATTCAACTGAAACTGTACCAGTAGACAACACTGGTGGTTTGGAGGGACTGGAAGATTATGAGAATTATACTGTTAGAAACCAACTTCCTTTGGGATCTCATATTTAATGTTCTCTAAGTTTGTGTATTGTACATCCATTACTCCATATTGCCTCAGGGCCATTTATGAGTAAAAAATCATTCACCGCTGATCATTTCACGACATACTGATGACAATCAGGCCTCAAATGAGCTCCTCTGGGAAATCACTGCTGTCACTGTGTGGCCCACTGTCAGGACAACCCAGTAACTCACAGCCTTTTTAGACCTTCCATGGGTGGCACTGATAGTGAAATTATGACATTCTGATCTCTTATATCCTTGCTGATTTAAAATAAGTGTGTGTGTGTGTGTTTGTGTTTGATTGTTTGATTTTTTAAAGAGGGAGATGAGAGAAAAAGAGAAACATGTATGTGAAAGAGAAACAATGATTTGTTGCCTCCACACACACCCCAACTTGGGATCAAATCTGCAACCAAGGTATGTGACCTGACTGGGAATCGAACGCACAAACTTTTGGTGCATGGTATGACACTGCAACCAATGAGCCACCTGGCTAGGACACACATTGTGATTTTTTTTATTGTTGACACATTTTGATTTGCATTTCTCTGTTGGTTAGTGATGTTTCCTTCTATTACTTGTTTGTGGTGTGCGTGTTTTTAACTTATGAAAGGGTATTGTTGACTCATGTGAAATGTTAACAGCTGACACCAGAATCTTCTTCCAAACACCCATCTATTTTCTTTCTCATTTTTTAGGGGATTTGTAACAATGAATATAAATAACACATATTCTTCCCTTGCTAAACACCAGATATTATGCTAAGTTCCTGACCTAGTAAAGCTGAGACACTTATGAGGTTTAAGTCACAGGCATTTCTCCAGGTATTTTCAATGTAGTTCCATATATTAACACAATGCCTGCAATTACCTCATGACATAGAGACTATTACTATCCTCAGTTTAAGGACAAAAATTTATGTGAGTCACCATGAGGTCAAAGATACTTGACCCAGATAATATAATTTATTATTAGGATTCAAATCCTGACCAAGCCACCTCAAATCCTATGCACAGAACCAATAATGTGTGACTCTGTGTTCAGGCTGAAGTGAGGCCTGGATAGGACTCACTCAAAGGCTGTTAGGCAGTGATGGGTCCAGTGTTCCAGACTAAGATGCCTAGAACTCCAGCTGTCTGTTGAAGAGACCCATCACTGCACATAGTTCCCCTGTACTTACATCTTTTTTTCTTACACTCAATGGGAACTGTTTCTAACAGGTGTGAGGTGGTATCTCACTGCAGTTTTAATTTGCATTTCCCTAATAGTGTGGTTGAACATCTTTTCATATATATGTTGGCCATTTGTATGTGTTCTGGGGAGAGGTGTCTATTCAGCTCCTCTGCCCATTTTTTAATAGGATCATTTGTTTAGTGTTGAGTTGTATTTCTTTATATATGTTAGATATCAACTGCTTGTCAGAGTTGTTATTTGCAAATATCATCTACCATTCTTTTGGTTGCCTTTTTGTTTTGTTGTTGATTTCTTTTGCTGTGCAGAGGCTTTTTAGTTTGATATAGTCCCATTCATTTGTTTTGGCCTTTACTTCCCTTCCCTTGAGGTCAACTTCAACATTGAAATTTTTAAGGTGGTTCTCAAACTTGTTTAAACAATTCAGCCGCATAAGGAGATTGTAATAATCGCTAGCACCACTCCACACCCACAACACTTAAAGTACAATTGGGGTGAAATCCAGACAAATATATTTTTAAACTCTCCATGTGACTGCAATGTGCCACTGAGGTCGAAAACCACTGTGTTAAAATATCAGCTTTTGGTGTATGCTCACCATAAGTTCCTAGGAATGGTTTCCATCTTATTTTACTGATTTTCTTCTCAATGTTGTTTTGGGGTGCTAGTGATTCCATAAGCTTAGATCAGGGGCTGGCAAAGTACAGCCCATGGGCCAAACCTGGCTTGTGGAAAAATTTTGTGGAGCCTTTAAGATAACAATGATTTTTACATATTTGAATGTTTTCAAACTCAAAATAATATTTCTTGAGAAGAGAAAATTATTCGAAATTCTGACGTCAGCATTCATACATCAAGTTTTACTGCAACGCAGCCATACTGTTTCTATTGCGGCTTTCACTCTACAGTAGCAGAGTTGAATGGTTACAACAGAGATCAAATGACCTTCAAACATTTATGATCAGGCCCTTTTCAGAAGAAGTTTGTTCAGCTCTATCTTAGAACAAGTGTCCTTCAAGCAAGTGCACAGTGACTCTGGTAGCTCAGGAAGATGTGTTACTTGTGACTTCATTGTAGGGTATTTTCTCAGTAGTCTATTTGTTCATGGTTTTCTGGGTCAGGTGTGGGAATTGAGTAAAGGACCATCATTTGCCATCAAGATGGCTCAAGTCCCCAGATCTAGTGTGTGTGTGTGTGTGTGTGTGTATTTTGTTTTCTTATAGTTTATTATATTTTATCTTTACATTGATCAAATGCAACATTTGAGAATTTTCAGATATTTCAAGATCCAAGGGATCTGTTTATCAATAAGCCATCTTCAAAGGTTGCTATAGCTCAAACCAGGAAAGCATATAAGAATGTCTACAGGCCAGCCGGTGGTTGAACACTGACCAATGAACCAGGAGGTCAAGGTTTAATTCCTGGACAGGGCATATGCCCAGGTGTGGGCTTGATCCCAAGTTGAGGGTGTGCAGAAGGCAGCCGATCAATGATTCTCTCTTATCATGATGTTTCTCTTTCCTGCCCTCTCTGAAATCAATATATATTCATATATATATATATATATATGTGTGTGTGTGTGTGTGTGTTGAAATATTTGCCAACTCTGCCAATTCATAGTGTATTTCACAGAACCAATTTATTTTTGCTATTGTAAATGGTATATTCACAGTGAAAATGTTATTTTTTATTTGTTGCAATTATGTTGTATACATTAGTCTTATATCCAATAAACTTATTAATCGCTTTTACTCTGTTTGTAAATTCTCTTGAGGTTTATATAAAGACAATTCTACTTATAGTTTTGTTTCTTTTAACATTTATACAATTATTAATTTATGTATGTATGTATTTATTTTGCATTATAGTAATGCCTCGGAGTCTCAGTTTAGATCTTGAACAGAAGTGATTATTTGTGAGTCATTTTTGCTGATTCTGATTTAAAATGGAATGCTTTGTCTTTCTCTGAATGGCTTATGTTAATTCATTTGTATACCTGAAAACTATATAATTTTATTAATCAATATCACTCCAATAAACACAATAAAAAAGCAACAACCGCTAAACTACTAGGGATCCTTAATAAAAAAAATGTTAAAATTGATTGAGTTAGCAAAAATGCTTCAAAAATTTAAATGGAATGCTTTGAATGTTTCACTATTATGTATGGCATTCATTGTAGTTTTTTTAAAAAAATACGTTATCAGTTTAAAGAAGTATTTTTGTATTCCCAGTTAGCTGAGAGAGTTATTGGTGTTCTTATTCAAACTTCATTGGTTGTTGAATTTTATGGTATGCCTTTCCCTCCTCCCCCCGCCAGAATCTTTGTGGTAATCACCCTTTTCTTACTCCCTTACCTTATTAATGTGTTAAATTACATTATAGAACTCCTGTTAATGCACATTGCAAGTTTGGGATAAACACAACTGTGGCATGGTGTAGTATCTGTTTTAGCCATTGCTGCATTTAGTTTGTTATTATTTTATTAGTAACCCTGTGCACGAATCTGTGTGTGAGTAGCTTGCTGCTGCTTGCCTCAGCTGGCCACCCCACCCACCATCGCTGGTAGCTCTCTGCTGCTCATAGCTCACTGCCCCACCCTCCTGTAGCTCTCCATCTGCTGCCCCGCCCTCCTGTAGCTCTCTGCCGCTTGTAACGTTATGGTGTCCCAGTTAATTTGCATATTCCTCTATTATTATATTAGATTTA